CCCTCCTCCTCCTCCTCTCCCTCCAAAATGCAGGCAGGAGGGCTCTGAGACAGGGAAGGGGCAACAGCGACCAGGACTCTGTGACATCCTCTTTTGGCAAAGATGGGGCAAATCCAGGTCTTGTCTGCTCTGAATGAAGGGTTCACGGAGCTGGTGTTTTGGTCCTTCTTGATAAAATGGATGGAAAGGATGGGAGATGAAAGCCTGAAATCAAGAGTTTGCCCCAGATCTGATCATCACATACCTTAAAATCCACACCCAACCATTACATTCACATGTGACTGAGTGCAGTCACCTGGGCCTTAGGGGTGTCCTCTGGTCAGAGTGGGAGGGAGGTACCAGTGTTATTCAGCTTTCCAAATTTCCCAGGTAGCACAGAGACTGGTGAGGATTTTGAGAGCTGTTTGCACATCTTTTGGTGCTGCTCATCCTTTAGGGGACTGCACAGGATGCCGGAAGGGCTACGAGTAATGCCCGATAGGTGTTTTCTCCCCAAGGTTTTGGGTTGCCTCACTCTCTCAGGCGTACCTTCTCAGACGCAGCACTTGGTTCCAAAACATGCAGCGAGAGAAGCGAGTCTGATTCTGGTTTCGGTGTGTAGCCTGCCACCTCCTCCTTGAAATCCCTTTTTTCTCCCCCACCCTCCTTCTGTCTTCCTTGCTCTAAAATAAAATTCACTTAGCAGACAGCAGTCTGTGAAAAAAAAACAACAAACCACAAGTTCCTGGAAACACTCCAGCAGGGTTGGTTTTTTTTCTTCATATATATATATATATATAAGAGGTTAGATGGTGATAGCTGAAATACCACATAGCAGAAGAAAATTGAAAATTCAGTCTTTAAGTCCTTGAATATGCCATTCCCTGGCTTTCCTGGTGTATGTGGGACCTGTCAGGGCATTTCTGTGCTGATATCTCTATTGAATTTCATTAAGGGTTGTATGGAGGCAATCATGGGAGATGCCAAAATACAAATCACTTACTGATTATACAATAGCGCTTTGCAGTGCCTAAAAAGCAAGAAATGAGACACTTTCCTAGGAACAATGACCTTTCTCATGTCTTTGCATTGGGTCTGTGACAGGCGAGCAAGGTCTTGTCCATTAGTGCACCCTCATGCACTATGCCAGAGAGCATGGTCGGTTGACTGCAAGTTAAAATGTGTAAAGTTACCTTGTGCTTCCTCTTCATTGACCCAAAGGAAGTCAGAAATCAAGCTGGGTCAGTTTGTTTTTAACTGATTTCTTCATGTTGGAAAATATAGAGAGCTTTGGGTTGATGAAAGCTTCAGGGATTGGGTCTAATTGGGTGAATGGTTGATAACCACTGAATGAGAGAATGTAGAAAAGTTTCATAAAGGCTATTTCATGGAAAATATTTTGACTGCTCATTCCCAAAAAAAGTTTGAATTAAAATGAAGTGTTAATTAGGTTTCAGCTTTAAATTAAGATTTTTATAACTGTTTTAAGTAAAAGTAAAATGTAACCGATTAAAATGCTAGACTGACTCGCCTCGTCTAAAATTTGCATATAGGTGAGCTTTTAGGTGCAAGAAAAAAATAATGTGAAATTTGGTCTTCTGGTTAGCGTGGGGAAATTCCTGGGCTTCCAGCCTGATCATCTAAATTATAAATGCAGTTAATTATTCACTTAGACTAGTCTCAAACTCCTTAATTTCAGTGAGGATCATGTCTCACTGCTGGGCAGCTGTGGACAATCCTTGTCAACATCCAGCTCACCCCTGCTTCGAATGAACAGAGCAGCAAACATCTCCGTGATGCCGCTGGTGCTCCAAATGCAGATGCCATGACCTTGATCCACACACGTGGTCATATTAAAGGGTATTTTCAGGCTGGACCCCAGAGGTCACCTCGGAAAGGGGACATGGCTCCAGGCCACTTCTATAAGGAGACGAACCAGCACTCAAGGGCATGAACCATCTCATTGCAGATAGCTGAGACCTGGAGCCTCTTTTGTGGTGGGAGCAGTGACATGAACTCACATTTCTCAAGGCCCATCCAACCTTTGGACAAGTCTTTTTTTTTTTAAACAAAATTTAACATAAATCAGAGACACTTATTTTTATTTTTCTTCCCTAGCCTTGATGATATGTGTTATATATGTTATATGTTGTAGCATGATACATGTTTAAGTGCCTGGATCCACTTCTGACTCAGTGTCTGGTTAACAAAACAGCACCTAATGTAAAAGGAGTTAATTTTTTTAGTTATTTTTGGCTTTCTTTCCCATACATTTTTGTCCAAAGACATAATAAGTGCTCCCACCTTAATTTCTTCCCATTTCCTCCAGACTGCATGGAAATGTTGAGGTGTCCCAGTGATGTGCACGGATGGAGGAACCTGACTGGAAACCTCACTCCTGTAAACCCTGAACACACCAGACTGGTGCTTCCCCGACCGCTCTCCAGGCAGAGCTGGAGCCGCTGAACACAGAGACCAAAGGCAGAAATCAATACAGACATAATTCTATAATTAAAAAAATTGTGCATTTCAACAAACAGCTGGCAGTTATAACCATTTCCCATTTCCCTTAATGCAGAAAATACATGTCTGGAACCCAGACATCTGATATTTCTAACGCCAAATATAATGACCTCCTAAGTCTGTGCTTGTACTAACCTCCTGCATTCGGCTACAAGAAAAGAGCCCAAAGGCAGCTATACTACCCTATAGTCAGGTCTTGAGAAAACCAGTCCCCTTCTTCCAAGGCATTATTTTCACTGACAAGTCATCATCATTGCTATCTTTTGATGGAAAATGTCTTCGAAAATCAACATGTGGGACATGAATTGATTTTTTTAATTAACAAAGTAAACAAAGAATAATTTTAATGAGTTTTTTTTCTTTTTCAAGATGTCCATGGGGAAATAAGGCTATTTCTCTACTAGCATCGTGGCTGGTTGCCTTATCCAGAGGCCAGCTGGCAATCTGGCCACAACCCAATTGAACCTTCACTGCCTAGGAAGCACAAGATTCAGCACCCAGGCACGGCACTGATTAACTTACTGGTACAGACAGAGCTCTGGTGCCCCAAAAACCTCCTTCCTTAGCAGAAAGAAATGATACTTAGGGAGCTTTGAAGTGGAGGGGAAGGCATCACCTAAGGGTTATGTACTATGGGAGACAGAGGACTGAACTCTGGGGGGTCCGGAGACCCCCACCTGTCCCCAGCCTCATGTGGTTTTCAACCCCTTCACGATGCTCATTTGTTCCTCCCATGGAGACCTATGGAGGCAGATGAATTATTTGTCTTCTCTGCATTAACCTAAGCTCTCTGTGGAAACCCCAAGTCTTGAAGCCTTCCCAGGCACAGCAGAGTATCATCGGCTTCTGGTTCACATCACATTCGGGAACAAAGACTCAACCTCCCGAGAGAGGCATCCTGCGGGCTCACATGCATACACACAACAACTTATGCACACACACAGCTCACAGACACAGTCAGCTACAGGCACGTTAACATGGCCACACAGCTTTCAGCTCAGCTCCTCCTCATCCCCAGAACTGGGGCTGGTGCTGCATGGACACAGTCACGTTCACTCATGGTCAGGGGAGGTGTTAGCATAGGAGGGAGAATCTAGAGGCACCCATGATTGCTCTAGACAGCCTGTCTTGGCTGCCAGGTGTCCCATGGATAGTCCACTCATGTCCCTGCCCTTGATGGGCTACTCTACATATAGGCAGGTGTGCAGCTGTGTGCACTGAAAGGCAAGAAAATACAGCATCCATCTTACATACTAACAGGCAGGGAAGGAATCCCTCATATTTGCTGCAGGTCCAAAGCTCATTGCAGCAATATTTCTCCCTTTAATTTTATAGTCGCACTTTATGTTCATTATACAAAAGTCCCTTTACTCCTCTTGAAAGTTCCTTTCTCTGATGGATACGTGTTGCTACAGAGGATCCAGGATTTGCTGGTGCTGCTGTTGGGGGAATGTCAACTTGGGGTGGTTTCTCTGATACGAGATGTCTTGGGTGGAAGTTACCTCCTTTGCTTTACTGCTTGCAGGGGGCAATGACACGGTGTCTTGTGGCCACTGCTGGCAACAAGATCAGGAACACATATTGCTCTGGGTATAACTTCGAGGGCATACAGGCAACTTCTGGCTGGCTGCAGACTCTATATGGACGTGTCCATGATCCGGCCATAATCTATACCACAGGCAAAATTAATCTGGAGTAAACTGGACTCAAAAGATCAAGTCAACAAACACATCTTCTTACCACTTCTTGGGGCTGCATAGCATTTAGCTGACGGTCCCTCACCTCGATCAAGTCAACAAACACATCTTCTTACCACTCCTTGGGGCTGCGTAGCATTTAGCTGATGGTCCCTCACCTGTTGGTAGGGCTCCTTTCCACTAGAAATCAGCTCCCCACCTGAAATACTCCCATGGACCCTGTGCTTGGGCCAGCAGAAACTGAGGACTGATGCCCAAGGAGACATCCAGGGAGAAGAGTGACTCCGAAGAGATGGCTCTAGCCTGGGAGGAGGGAAAGGGGAAGGAAAAAGGGATTTTGCTTTACTTTGTGGCTCATCTTTGACTGACATCCAGGGAGAAGAGTGACTCCGAAGAGACGGCTCTAGCCTGGGAGGAGGGAAAGGGGAAAGAAAAAGGGATTTTGCTTTAGATTGCGGCTCATCTTTGACCTCCTCCTTTGATTTTTGAGTACAAAGAGCCACACTGGAGCTGCATCCTCTTAGTTACTGTGGGGGGAAGAGGAGAAGGGACTTTGCAAAGGAGCAGGCTAAGTGTACATGTTGGGTTTAGATACTCTCCAGTCTTCCTCCATGCAGGTCCTGTCTTCTCGATGAGCATCTCTGGGCCATCTCAGTGCCCAATTTTGCTGCTCTGCCCTGCCACCAAGACCAGCCGTGAGTTCCCTGTTTGCTCCTGTTCCCTCTGCCTCTCTTTGGCCTCTTTTCACCCAGCCATCAGGCAGGGAGAGCCCTGGCACTGCCCAGTCCTCTCTCTCTCTTTCTTCCCCAACCTTCCCTCTTCTTCCCCCACTTCAACACAGCGAGAACCGGCGGGAGTTGATGTTCATCTTGGTGACTCCAATGAGCTTGAGCGGCGTGGAGAGGCTGAAGGAGTTCACCAGGGGGAAGTCACAGAAGAGGTCGGAGAGCTCGTCCCTCTCCTCCAGCTCGTAAGTGGCGTCGTTGAGCATGCGCTGGTGGAGGTGGCAGGTCTGCTCGATCTTCAGCTTGTTGATGTCGCTGCGGAGCCGCATGAGCTGCCTCGCCAGCTGCTGGTCCTGCAGGCGCATTTCTGCCTGAAACACAAAGTGAAAGGTGGGGAGGGAAGAGGGTGTTGGCGAGGGAACAGCAAATTCTCTCATCATGCTGCTTCCTGCGAGAAGCTGCACCAAATAGTTGGAAATTATTTTGATCATCATGAGGTTTAGATTGGATATTAGGGAAAAAACATTCACTGAAAGGGTTATCAGGCATTGGAATGGGCAGTCCAGGGTAGTGGTGGAGTCACCATCCCTGAAGCCATTTAAAAAATGGGGAGATGAGGTGCTTAGAAACATGGTTTAGTGGTGGACAGGTTATGATTGGACTCAATGATCTTAAAGGTCTTTTCCAACCAAATGATTCTTTGAGATAAAACTTATCTAGAGATGCTACACCATTACAGAGAACTAGGAGGGAAGCAAGGCTCTTCCAAGCCAGCAATGCACCCCAGTCAAACACCAGCTTGGGATGGTGAATTTTTAGTGTTCAGGAAGTCTCTGCCTCCTGGGGTTTTCAGGAGCACCAGGAAACTGGAATTAAAGCCAACCATGCCAAGACTGTTGGCTTAGGTATCCATCAGCAAGGCTTCAGAGCCTCCATCTCAACTTGAAGCAAAACCCAAATTGATTTTGCTCATAAGGGAGCAGCCACAGTGAGGAGTAGCAATTAGAGGTGGAAAAGACCAATTAAAAAAAGCTCATAGAAATGATCCCTAAATACTCAGCCCGGGTTTCCAGCCTGCTTAAATCAGAGCTGGTTCATAGCAGCCAGGAACACATCCCTCCACATCCCCTCTGGCTTCTCGTGCTGATTTGAAGTGGCTTTTGGGATGGGACCTTCGCTGATTCCCACAGGAGAGAGAACAACTATCCCGCAGGATAATGACCTAAGTGTTTCAGAAGGTTTATTATCCTCCCCTAGCACCTAACTTCAGAAGGTGGAAGATTCAGAGGTGACGAAAGAAAAGAGGTTTATTTTTTATTATTATTTCAACTTATAATTAAGCAGAAAATTTATTGCTACAGGATACTGGAGGTAGTGAAGGAAGGAGGCGAACGCTTGGTGCAAGAATCAGCCTTTGGGGAAGAGAAGCAGGCAGAGCCTGAGCAGCAGATGCCAAGAAGACAAACTCCACATCCCATCCCACATCCCTTCTTGCAGAAAAGCAACAGAGCAAAAACCACAGAGAAAAGCAAGGGGTGGGAGAGAAACCAAGCAGCCCTTAGCAAACCTTGTGGCTTAAATCTCTCTGTAACCACTGCAGACAAGGAGGGAGCAAAACTGGCTGAAAAACATTCCTACATCTGCCCAGATGTGATGTCCTGCCCCTTTCCCTGGTGTCGCCTCCATCACAGGACACAAACTGGCACTGCATGGAGCCCCTTGGCACCACAGCTCCTGATCTTGGTGGTTTTTCTTTTTTCTTTTCTTTTCTTTTCTTTTCTTTTCTTTTCTTTTCTTTTCTTTTCTTTTCTTTTCTTTTCTTTTCTTTTCTTTTCTTTTCTTTTCTTTTCTTTTCTTTTCTTTTCTTTTCTTTTCTTTTCTTTTCTTTTCTTTTCTTTTCTTTTCTTTTCTTTTCTTTTCTTTTCTTTTCTTTTCTTTTCTTTTCTTTTTCTCTTCTCTTCTCTTCTCTTCTCTTCTCTTCTCTTCTCTTCTCTTCTCTTCTCTTCTCTTCTCTTCTCTTCTCTTCTCTTCTCTTCTCTTCTCTTCTCTTCTCTTCTCTTCTCTTCTCTTCTCTTCTCTTCTCTTCTCTTTTCTCTTCTCTTCTCTTCTCTTCTCTTCTCTTCTCTTCTCTTCTCTTCTCTTCTTTTTTTCTCTCTTCTTTTCTTTTCTTCTTTTATTTTCCCTCTCAATGTCTCCCTGGGTATGTGCTGTCCTCACTGACTTCTTAGTCCATGAGACCATGCCCTGAGCATGGTCATCTCCAGCCACAACGTGGAGCTGCCCCGACCCCAAACCCATCCTTCACCTTGCTCCTTTGACTTGCATCACTATTATCTTGGCTCCCTGTGGTTTGAATGAGTAGCTCAGGAACAGACCCAGGCTACATCTATAGCAACACATGAAATATTTCATTGCAGCAAAGTCTTTTTCTACACTCAATTGCAAGCAAGGTCCTGGCATCCTCTGAGCAGCCCCAGGGTTGCACCTCCAAAGGTGTTGGGATTGTTCCTTGCAGCATTGCCAGTCCCACAGCAAGGCTCAGAGGCTGAAGGGCTCAGAGGGAGCCAAGATGGCTCTGTCTCAGCTGTTTTCTGCATCTGTTGGGAAGCCCTTTGTCATGCTATGCTCATAGCCAAAGTCGAGAGCTGAGCTGAGTATAATGAAAGTTAATCCAAGCCAAGCAAACTGCACTCACTCTTGCACCTCAGAGGCACCCTGGAGGACCTTGCCTGTGCTCTCAGCCAGTGACTGGACTCCAGCTTGGCTGCCTGGAGAGGACTGAGTCACCTTTGTACCAACCTCAAAATGAATCTCTCTCTCATGAAATCTGGCAGGGTTGTGGCCATTTACTTTCTTCAAAAAAACACTATTTCCTTGCGGACCTCATAGCCTGTGCTCCCAGCAGAGTAGTGCCACATGGCACGTTTTAGTTCTCCACATGAGTTGCAACAGAAAAAACACCTCATTTTGTGGACATTTTTCCTTGTTTCACAATGAATGCTGTGACTTGACATTTTATCAGGAAGGCGATCACAGGCATTATTGAACTGACCCTTGCTCGTTCTTTCTTGTCAGGTTATCAAGCTAGATAAGAAATGTCAACAAATGCTTTCATTGAAAGTTTTGAAGAATGTGGGATTAAAAAAAGCCACCACTGCCAAAAAAGGGCTTAAAAAATGAATTACGATGGCATTGTGGAGAGGCATGTGAGTTGGAGATTGCTATTTTTCCCTTGCACTTTCCTTTCCTTTTCACTTTTTGACCACTTTCCACTTTTTTGAGGTTGGGATCTCCTTGCATGGTGACAGGTCCCACAGAGGTAGGTTCATGGGGTGACAAATGAGCAAGGGACAGAGGACAAAAAGTCCCACTGTGGGCAGGAAGGGAGGGCTGCTCTGCAAGGCATAGCCACTCTTATCACTAATCATTGGGGCTTCAGATGCAAACACAGTCCTCCCTTCATAGACTTGTCCCATTAAACCTTGCCTTGTTCAAAACCACCCAGAATATCAGCAGAATTTGGGTCAGAACTCAGAAATCCTCATTCTCTTTCCTAGAGGCTCCTAGAAACACTCAACCCATCCCATCCCAAGGACCAAGCCATCACTAGAAATGATGAATGGTCTTTTTTTCAAAGGAGCACTGTTGGGTCAGCAGAGCCTCACAAAGCTTCCTGGGATCACAGGAGCCACATCAGGGGAAGCCGTGGGTTTTCAGTTTACACAATTCACCCACAGGGCCAGTCACCACCAAGTAACTGGATGCACCAGTTCATCTGTGTGGGATGACAGCATTTTCCTTCTTTTGAGTCTCACATGTGTCTTAGGTACTTCTTGCTCACACAAACTACTTTTTAAAACCACACTCTGCTTCATTCTGCATGCCCCAATCCAGCAATCAAAGAACTGCCTTTTGTATTTACATGGTTGGAGCATGCTCTTGAAATGCACATGGTGCTGGTTTGAACTTCCCCAGGAGAGAAGAAAGGGAACCAAACCCAGGTCCTTCCTGGCAAATGAGCTACTAAAACTGCTGGACTGAATGACAAAGCTGCACCACAGGATCTCATGAGCTCAGGAAGGATTTTCTGCCTGGATTGATCCTCAGAATCACCCAGGGATGTTTAATACGGAGGAGGGAAAGTTTCAGGTGTCCAGCCTAGGTGACTTAGCCCAAATAGCCAGAAGTAGCTGAGGGTGTAGCCCAGACTTGTCTTCAAGTTTGCCTTAGCCATATGGTACCAGACAGGAGGACCAGTACTGTTCCCATTGCTAGTGGTCTATCTGCTCCCTGCCTTGCTATGGGAGGACACATCAACAGAGAGCACTTCATGGCATGGAGATGTGGAGCTCCTTGGGACTTCTCCACAAAAGGGAAGTGTCCTATGGACAGAGTCCCAGTCTGTGGTCCATGAAACTAAGGGTGATGATCTGTGGAGAAATGGCTACTCTCATGGGACCAGTCCTTTTTATTTCTAAAAGATCAAAAGGAAATTAAACCCAAACTGCTGCTTTCCTATCTGAGTGCAGTCACTTGGGTTCAAGCACAAAGCAGCTATTAGACCCTTGCCAAACACCTCACAGAAGTCAGTTAAGTCTGTGTTTTGGTTTGAGGCTTCATCTTCAAAGGTGCTCAGATGCCACCCTGCCATGGCTAATTTTAGATGCTCACACCCTTGTGGTGCAACCCACAGCCCCAAACGAGGTATCTCGTCTCCTTCCGCAGTGCCTGGCAGTTACACACCAACAAAGTCCAAGATATCTTTGCCACATGCAAGGCCTGATGTGGGTCCTAAATCTCATGCTTCTCCAGTGTTGACTCCTGTGCTGACTCCCTCAGAATTAATCATATTACTGTTCCCAAGGGAGGTAGTGATCTGTTTTTTGTTAAATTAAGGGTGCTAAAATGCTTCCAGGATTGGGAATGCTGTACCTAGGAGAAAGACAGAGGAAAACTGTAGCAGCTTCGCATATGAGTGAGGTGAACAGAGGGACATCTCAGTGGGCAGGAGAACAGAGGGACATCTCAGTGGGCTTGCACATAGGTTTACATGGTAGAAGAGCACATCATTTCTCAGAGTTGCAGTTACATCTCTGTTACAGGCATAAATCCACAACCACCCTACGTAACTCCCCCTCTCCCCAAAACAGGGAGATAAGATCCCCAAAACCCTTGGGGATGGTCCTGTTGTGTGATAACTCCTAAGCTGTGCCCTTGTTCTAGCAATCTAACTACAGAGCAAAATGACCCCACTCTGGTGCCTGTCCTTTCACTGCTTTAAATAAAAACACAGAAAAATCCTTCCTGGACCTGCTGTGTAGCAGAGGACTCCCAACGCAGGTCAATGTCCATCATCATATCCATGCTCTCCTCCTCTCCACCTCTGCACAACCACAGAGCAATCTGCAACGAGGTTCATTTCAACATGGTTTTGGTGCCACATCGTTGTTTAAATTCACTTAAGCACCTGTTCAGTCAATATCAGTATCTCAAATTGAGATAACAGTGGTTAATATTTAATAATAGATGTCTGGCCAACAGGACATGAGTGTTTTATGGTTTCCCAGGAGACAGTAGCAGATATTTGTGTCCCTTTTCAAACATCTTTCCTGCATTCTGGCTCACACACCTCAGATTTCAGTGCCAAACACTGGTGAATTTGAGACAGAAAGAATGTTTTCCTACTGGGACAAAGTCAGAAGTGGCCTAAGATGTCCCAGCTCACAGCAGAGTTTTGTTCCTTAACCACATTTAGGAGGAAGAGGAATTTGAGAGATTCATTTTAGAACTTGCAAAACCTGACACATTTCAAAAAACAAAGGCGAAAGCACTCTGATCCTTGGGTCTGTCACCGCACCCTGGCTGGCGATGGCTTTGCTTGCAGCATTGATGAAGAGCAGCCGTACTTGACAGCACAAAGGCAAAGACGAGGGCAAGGAAGAGGCGGAAGGAGCTGGGGAGGGAAGGGATCCAGCCCCGCGGCGCTTCAGCACATGCTGAGTGCTGCAATTTGCTCGTACACCTACACAGAGCCTCTCTGTGCAAAAAAACAAGAGCAGGAGCTTGCATGTCGGAATAAATCAGCTTCTTTGGGCCAGATTCTCAGCAGGTCCCAGCTGACACGGCTGGCTGGAGCTCAGTGGGCATATGTCAGTCCTGAAAACTGGGGCCAGGGCTTGATGTGCAGAATCAGGTCCTGGGATGGGTCGTGTGGGGTGAAAGACCAAAAGCGGCAGATGCACAGCAAGACCTTGTGATTGTCCTTCACTTCTGAATGTGAGGGGCCTGAACCCCTGAAAATGAACCAGAGCAGACTCTGGAGACATGGAGGCAGATTCCTTGCAGCACTGAATAACCCTTTTTTGTGTGTGTGGGGTGGGAGCAATGCTTCAGATTTTACAGGTAGTTTTAATTTTAAAGCTAGGCACTCCTGGACTACCACTTGACCAAGCAACTAACCCATGCCATGGCCCATTCTGTAGCACCATGGCCAGGTTTGGGCACACACATATGACTAAATTCACTTTTCTGCCTCTACTGGTTTTGGCTGGGATAGAGTTAATTCCAAAATTGGGTGGTCCTGTACACATTGCCTGTTGGGAACAGTCCCCAGCATGTGCAAACTCCTGAAGCTCTAACTGTTTGGCAGGGTGTTAACTGGTACAAGCCAAAACCATGCTGGGATCGTGCTATTGAAATAACCCAGCCTAAACACACTGGTAGCTGCGATGAGGGTTGCACAGTGTGGGCGATGGAGCTACACACCCTGCTCCATTGCATTTCCTTCAGTAAGGACATGAGCTGGTGCACTTCTTTCCTGGATAGAAATCTCCATGTACACCAGCTTTTGCCCTTTCATTGGATAGATGAATCCTACATATCCTAAACTGACTTCTCATGGACTGTGCAGAGTTGTGGAGAGTTCAACCTGCAGCAGAGGACAGCGTGACAGAGGCAGATCTCACCCCAGCTATGACCACTGGATCATTTTGGGATGATCTTCAGAACCTACCTGGGATGCTCACTCTTGCTTGGGCAAGGCAAGGCTGTGCTCCCAGGTCTCCTACGTTAAATAAGACCAGAAGTATTGATTGCTCATTTAGGGTGATCTTACCCAAGGTGTGAGGTGCTGGTGTCCTGTCTGGTTGCCCCAAGCAGGGTCCTGTCTGAGGGATGCTGCCCTTTCTGGCCTTGGCTCATGCCTTTAAATAAATATATAAACTTAGGCATAACCATTTAGAATCATAGAAGGATTTTGGTTGGAAAAGATCTTTAAGTTCATGGAGTCCAACCATCAAACCAGCCCTAATTCCACCACTAGACCGTGTTCCTAAGCAGGAGATCCACTCATCTTTTAAACCCCTCCAGGGATGGTGACTTCACCACCTCCCTGGGCAAGCCCTTCCAGTGCTGGACAACCCTTTCAGTAAAGAAATTCCTTCTAATATCCAACCTAAACCTCCCCTGGTGCAACTTGAGAGCATTACTCCTTGTCCTAGCTACAAGGGAGAAGAGACCAACCCACACCTCTCTACAACCTCCTTTCAGGGAGTTGTAGAGGGCGATTTCCTGCTATGAAGCCTTCCTGACGGCTTTGCTGTCACAACATGGGGGTCGACAGGGAAAAATCCTGGCTGTGCTGGGCTGCGTGGAAGCTTGTTCATTTATTTGCAAAGAATCTGCGTTTCACCCTTGAGATGTAATGTGAAATGCATCTTTTTGTTCCAGCATCCTGTGATGCCATGGCCTCACTGTTTGCTGGCAGCTCTTACACAACAAGAGTGCCTCCAACATAGCTATTTAGCTGTGTGGTCAGTCAAATACATGCTCTCCCTTTTGGGGAAATTGTTCTAAATTACATGAATCACGTCCAGATCCAGCAAAGACTGGTATAATTAGGAGGCAGAAGAATGGAAAGTGAGGAATAATTAGGGTTTGCTTTGCCCTTTTTCCTCTTTAATTTAAACTTTTAGTATCCATCAGATGATGGTTTGTACGCCACACCCCAGTCTAAAGAGTAGAACTGGACTTTGAGATACTTTATACTTCTATCATGGGCAGAAACCGAAAGAAAAAAAACCCAAACCTTCTAAGATCTGGGGCTCTGAGAAGGAAAATCTGCTTCTCACTGTCTTTGGGCGTCTTGAGACTTGGGTTTTACATCAAGTGCACTGTGAATTTAAGACTGCATCGCAGATGCAAGGACGGACCTGGATTCAGGTCTCAGATCTGGAGGTGAGATTCTCTAGAGCACTGAGTGATTTTAGGAGATCAGATTAAAACTCTCCATAATAGTCCTCGAATCCTGAAAGCGCTGCAATTGCCCTGTGAAAGCCATGGTCTTGAGAAACACCTTAACCACTAAAACTTGACATCAAGAACCACCTCCTTAAATAACATCTCCAGAGATCAATCTAGCTGGGCAAATACACCAAGAGCAACAAAAAGTTGGCAAATAAATATTATCTGAAGCAAAAGCTGCAGAAAACTTTTAGAAACTGTTATTCATCACTTTGCATGAGAAATTTTTCTCAAGGACTTTCAGTGCTTATCAAAAGCAAAGTGTTTGCACAGGAACATTTGCACGAGTGCATCTGAACCGCCACTGCTGTTCCAGCCCCCTGGGACCCTGTAACAAATATTGCTGCTATCAATGCTGTTGTAAATGCTGATGGGACTCACAGGCAAACTTTCAATTAGGCTACGGAAACAAAGCCATATGACATGAGTTGTTTCCAGTCAAATAATAAGGATTTTCCAATGAGAAGAGAAGGATCAATGGGAAGTGTGGTCTTGGTGCCTGTTTACTGCTGGGCTTGTGAAGAGCACCAAGGCTGAAAACAACTGCTTTGATCCGGTTGTGTCCATCCTATTGACCTCCTGTAGCCTCCAAAAAAGGTGTGCTGCATCCATGTTTCCTCCTAGATACTATCCCTAGGCTATGCTGACTCCTGAGCTGGGTTGGGAGCTGCTTGGGTCAGCACTATTTGACCTAGGCCAACTCTGTGCCAAAGACCATGACAGCAACATGTTTAAAAGATGAGCTTTCAACTCCCGTGCCCTTGCTCTGTGTATTTTCCTAGCGTAGGTGTAGCGTTTTTGTCTTCCTTTCTGTGAAACTACCAGTTCATAACTATCAGAAATAAACATATGTGTAAGATAGGGCCCAAGGTTGAGATGGGAGGACGACAGAAATGTGGACCAGCTTCTAATGAATCAGGAGCCAACAGATAATGAACCTGTAAGGGCTGGGTAAGGAGAGGTCTGAGATAAGGTTCTGGTGTCATGCACACAACAGAAAAATGAATATTATTCATTAAATATTACATGGTCAGAACAAGGGGTTTCCATAACAGTTTGAAACATAAGGAAGCACTTGGTCTCACCGTGCAGAAATGACTTGGGGGAAGCAAATTACCACAAGACCTTATAAAGAGTTATAAGTTTAATGTAAAAAATAAAAATAAAAATAAAAAGGGGGAATTAGGCAAACGCTTGGAGGTTAGATTCACTAATGACTGTTAAATGCAGTGGTCAGTGTACAATCTCCCACACAGGGAGTTCCTAAACCACCAACAGCCGCAAGCTGCAAGGGCAGGTCCAGGGGATGGATATAATCATGTTTCCTTCCCACAACTCTTGCCGATCCCCATCAGAGATGGGCTATTACAACAGCACTGCCCATGTATTCATGGTGTATTCACACCTGCTGTGTTCATCTGAGTCCTGAGATATCATTAGAGAAATAGGGAAGGGGAGAAACTGCTAAAAAGTCCTAAACTGTGCAAACTACCCCATTTCCCCAGCCTGCTGGATGCCATATGGACCCAGCTCCTTCTCTGAGATTATGGGTGCTCTGACATTTGCCTTTTCCCTTCCCTGGGGTGCTCCTGCTCCCGCCAGCCACAGAAAATGCAAAGATTGCCTGGTTTCCTCATTCTTTGTTTTTTTTTAATTTCCCCTCTTGAAAAACTGTGCTAACAGGGACAGGAAACCACTTACCAGTTCCTTCCTGAGCCACGTCAAAGCTTCGTCAATGCTCTCGAAGCCACCTATCCTCCCTGAGGTAAGAGTCACCTTGTCCTGGGCAGGGCTCCCATTGAGGTGCAGCTGCACCTTCCTCAAGGGGACAGTCTCTCCCATGGCCTTTTTGGCCTCAGATGCCTCCTCCTCCTCCTCCTCTCCCGTGGGTTGGGGGCTCTTCCATGCCTGCTCCTCCAGCTTGGCTTTCCACTCCAAATAAGACGGCCGCCTGGTTTCCAGTTTCAACTTCTCCGTCAGCGCCTTCAGGCTCCTTAGGTGGTCATCAGGAGGAGCAGCACCTCCAGAGCCAGTATCTGTGCTGTCTGGAGCCTCTTCTATTTGGATTTTGGGTAGAGACATCCTTTCCGGGAGTCAAACAGCATAGGAGTGGGCTGCAAAGGGCCAGGGATGGAGGTGGGAAACCCTCAGGGCTGGACCAGCTCCTGCAGCGTGACAAATGTAGCTCCTAGGAGGTGGTGGCTTCAGCTCAAACACTGCACCGGCCCTGGATGAACACCTGGAAGAAAAGCAGAAGGTTGGTTTCCAATTTGAGAAGGAGAAAGGAGTGAGAAGGGAGAGACGGCTCTGAGAGAGATGGCTCTGGGAGAGGCACAGTGCCAAGGTGCTCCTGGGGAGCATTACCTCACCTCAGCTATCTGACTGCTTTTGGGGCAGGAACAGACAGGCTCGGGCTTTTAGGGAAGCTCTGGTTACCTACATTTCCAATCTTAAGGGGCCGTGAAGGGGTTGCCAAGGAGGCCGGGACAGGCTGTATCTCACAACCTGACATCCTCTGGGGACAGCGATGGCTGTTGCTGGGGGTTGGGGTGTCTGCAGGCACTGCTGTGCTGGTTTCCTGGCTGGGAAACCAGCATCTTTCCCCTTAGACAAAACAGCACCAGGTGAAGTAAGACAACCAAACTTCTCCCAGGAGTTTGAGCCAGAAGCTGTGAAAAGTGGCTTTGTTTTCCTCAGTTTTACAGATTTGTGTCTAGGTCTGGGATTGCTAAAGATGCCAGTCTGCAGCCATAAGATTCAGCTCCTCCTGTCCAGCAGATCTGGGGCTCGAGCACGGTCCCTGGCCAAATGTGGGAGTAGTTCAGGTGCTGGCACATTTTGGGTTCAGATGCCAGCCCTCAGGGAGACTGGGACTCGTGGTTTCCACCACTGGCCATGTCCAGTCTGTCTTGTAGGAAGGGTCCCGATGGTCCCCTTGAAAACACACCAGTGGAGGACTAACAGAGAAACCAGGAGCTTCCTCCCAGCTTCTCCTCCTGCCACCACATGTGGACTCAGAGGAGCTGTGCCCAAAACCATGGGACCGATGAGGGACAGCGAACTCAAACAACATCGCAAGAGTTAAGCGCAGGCAGCTTCTGCATTCATTTGCTGGCAGGATCAGATAAGAGACTTTCTCAAGGTCGTATGCTCATCTAATGCTGAGCTAGGAATAGATCCAGAGCTCTCGTCTACGCCTCGAACGCAAAACAAAATAACTTCTTTGCCTGCCTGGTAACGTGCCCAGAAAGACCAGCCAGGATGTACGCAGCTTTCTAGCTGGATGCACTAAACCATAGCAATGCGAGTTACTCAGACATTCTTTTCCCTGCTATTTGTGCCCACAAAGACGTGCGTAACTCTGAAATCCAGACCATAATTACGCCTCGCGAACCTTTTCAGTAAGAAGATTCAATTTAAAATAAACGCCAAGAGAGAGCAAGATTTATCCCACGATTGTGTGCAGGCACATGAGCTGAACGAGGAGTTGATAATATACACACAGACAGTCTGGGGGTGGAGAATTAGTCATGTTGTGATCTTGTTCCTGCTCCTATTTATGTTAATGAGAGTTTTATGGTGAGCAGGAGCAAACACAGACACTATATCTGACTGAAGCAAACAGCTCTCATGCCTGGACCAGCGACAGTTTTCCTTCTTCTGTTGAAAAATAGATGGGATGGAGGAGAAAACAGAGGGCTGCCCTGTCAGAGTCAGGTCCTGCACCAGCTCTGGCATGGATGCTCTGCAGAGCTGAGGGCATGGCCATGAATTTCGCTGCCTCCAGCTCCAGCCTACCGAAATCAATGAAAGGAAACACCTAAGGACTATAAAGACCTCATTTTGGAGCCTTTTCTTCTGTCCTTTGAAATACAAATTGCTAGAGATGGCCAAAACCAGCAGCCCAAAGGAGTCTGCTGCAACTCCACACTGAGCTACAGGATTTCGTAACCCCTAACGTAGGTAATGCTTTTATTGTAAGGCTGATTTTTCTGAATGCCACAGCTACAAAGCAGAGCCTCTAAAAACTCATTTGCCTTGTGCCTTCAGCATGCATAAAGTCCTCAGAGTAGAAAAGACCCTGCCTATTTGAGCCTTGGGTACAGCTCAGTTAGCATCAGACCATTAAAACATGACAGCAGTTTGGAGCATCCCCACATCTCCCCCTCCCCATCACCACCTTCCAGCAGCTTTGCAAGGATTTGGTTTTCCTACCCTAAAAGCAGCATTGATCCAACCCACCCTTCACCTCCTCCCCAGAGCAACATGAAACTTCTCGTTCCCTCTGTAGGGACACCCCCTAAACAGACACGTCTGTTCTCCAGCATATCCAAACTCAAAAAAACAACAGAAAGGAGCCGCTTCTCATTTCCTATCAATATCTTGGACTTGAGTCAATGACCTGCTGTAGAGAAAGAGATCTGAAAGTGGTAAGCGTGTGAAAAGTGCCTGTGTGTGAGGCTGTAATACAATCCATTTGCTGCCTGAGAGCTACCTAATTCCCAGCAACAATCCTGGCTTTTGGCTCAAATCAACAGATATCTCCCAGTCTCCCTGTCCCAGGCTCAGTTTCCCCCTAGGCTGGCCTGCTCAGGGGAATTTAAGTAATTAATCCTTGATTTGTCTTCATTATCACACTTGACAGGTGTTTATGCTGTGCCTAATTACAGGTAAGAGGATTTTGGCACCAAAATGGGGTGAGGGTCTCCTCCCACCTCACCAAGACCCTTTGCTCAGGGGTTTCACTTTCCCTTGCATGAATCCTGTCGATCCTGAAGACACAAGGATGCATCAGGTCACTGAGACAACAGAAAAACACCTTAAATTTCTTGCTTGGGTTAGGTTTCGATCAGAGAAGTCAGCTCAACTGACCTACCCTGCGAGCTGTAATGCAAAGGAGTTAGCAGGAGCGCACGACCAGGATGGAGAAATAACAGGACTGTCAAACTGGATGGGATTTGAAGTCCTACCACATCAAGGCTCATGGAGCTGGCATGCCCGAGGCTTGGCTTTAGCATGGTTGCAGGTCAGCAACATAGATCCTGCCCTCTCACATGCTAGACACACCTTGCGAAGCTCATGGGGTGTCCTATGCTCTGAGCAACAAGGTACAGCGGGACAATCTGCTACCACAGCTTCCCAGTGCAGCCATTCCTACAACCCTGAAGCAAATGCAGAAGATGGTAGCCAGGTCGAGGAGGTTCTCTTTCCCCTCTACTCCGCCCTGGTGAGGCCACATCTGGAGTACATGAGGAAAAACTTCTTCACTTTTTGGGTATCAGAGCCCTCTCCCAGGCTGCCCAGAGAGGTTGCGGAGTCTCCTTCTCTGGAGACATTCAAAACCCATCTGGATGTGTTCCTGTGTGACCTTCTCTGGGTGATCCTGCTCTGGACCTTCAGAGGTCCCTTCCAACTCCCACCATCCTGTGATTCTGTGACCTGTCCCCATCACTCACCCTTGGCCATCCCTGCCCATGCATTAGAGCAGGGAAACAGGAGACCCACATGAACATCCCTCTGACAAAGCAGGTGTGATGGGGCAAGTTCTAGGAGGCACAGGGAGGTGCACAGGGGTGTGAGAAGAGCTCTGCTTTATTGTCACTGATGATGGAAAACAATAAATTCAGACGCTGCTCAAAAGGGAGGTTGCAAAAAATGATGATGGACACGGCCTTTTACCCTGAGGAAGTTTTACATGCCTGAGAAATTTTATACATTTAATACATCTGTACCTTCCCCATCACTCTCTGTGCCCTGCTCAGCGTTGAACATGAGGCATTCACACAGCAGCATTGACCAGTGTATGCTGGACCAGGGCAGCATGGGTACAGGTGGCTAAATTAAAGGCTGTAAATAAGGACATATGGTGCTTTGGAAGGTCACACATTGAGGAGCAAGGGGTCTAGGAGGAGAAAGAAAAAGAAGGGAGAAACACTCAGGATGGAAATGAGAGGGAAAAAGCAGAATAAATAAAGCTATCAGCCAGGTTAGAGATGTGGAGAGAGCAAATTATTCTGCTCCCTTCACTATTCCTGGTGGACTTCAGCTTATTGCACTACTATTTTTTATTGCAGAGGAGCAGCAGTGACTGTAAGAGTCTGTGTTGCTGTGCTTGCCCAGTCTGAGAAGAAAAAAGAGCCTCAGTATGAGACAAGATGAGAGAAGTTGCTTTGCAGGGTGGAAGGGTGCCCGCATGGCACTTCTGGCATTGGTTAAACAGGGTAGAGGTTTGGATCAGTCTGTTAATGACCCTCTGAAACCACTTCAACCCCTTTTATGCCTCAGTTTCCCTCTCACTAAGTAGGCAGTTCATGCAACCGGCTCTCAGAGAAGAAAGCTCTGAGGATCTTCAGAGACTTACAGAGATTCACCTCTGGTACCTTCAGGTCTCTCCATCTCATCCTGGTCCCCATGCTCTCACTATAATGGGTGCAGGGATACCCTCAGGGAGCCACAAATTTTGGGATGCAATTCCCCAGACCACCTGCAGACATTTTCTTCAAGGGTTTGCTTAGACGTTGCCTTTTGGGCCATACAGACACCCCTTGATCCTACAAAACAAAACCCTAGGACGAACTGCACCTGAAAACATCACCATCAAGCTCTACAGGTCGTGGTGAGTGAAGAGCATCCTGAGGCTGAAGAAACACCGAGGTGGAGCGAGAGGTGGGGGGACGGTGCCTGGTGTGTGTACCCTGCGCAGGGAAAGCCGTGTTTGCTTTCCTTCTCCACACAGCAAAATGATGGGGATGGGGTGGGCATGGCTGACCCCCCCTACCCCCCCGGAGGTCTGCAGCAGGAGGAGACGCCTGTGCAGGGGTTGCCATAGCAATGGAGTAAGGGAGGACTCCGACTGCTGCACGGTGGTGGATGGAGGCTCCTGAGCATCCTTCAGGCAGTGGAGATGCTGAGGCCCTGGGCAGCAGATGAAGGGAGAAGAGACCTATGCGGGTCAATGCCACAGCTCCCTGGTTCTGTTTAAGGGGAGGCTGCACATGAATAACTCCTTTCTCCGTGCCAAAATGACCTCTCTTAGGATTGAAGCTGTTGCGAGGTTTGGTGAGGTTAGGCTTTTCCTCACC